GGTGAAGGAGATGAAAGTGAGCAAAGGTTAAAAGTGGAAATCTTTCTTTCTTTCTTTCTTTCTTTCTTTCTTTCTTTCTTTCTTTCCAGTCTTCCTAGATGATTCTTGTCCTTTTAAAATGCTTAACTTTGCTACAGAAACTTCCCTCCTCATGCTTAGATCCATTTATAGACTAGTTCTTAAATGTCTTAGCTTACTAAGCCTAATTCTCCAATAGACATTTCAAGAGCAACGTGTTCTGAAAGAAAACACTACACATTTCTTTTCATATAATTTGCATGAACAGTATCACCATTCAAAGAGCTGGGCAAGGTAGAAGCATAATGTTATTCCTAGTCTCCCTGACCGTTTTCCATCTCAACTGGTAACTAAAATTTATAGTTTACTCCTTAAACACCATTTGAGTCTGACTTCTCCTTTATCTCTCCTTGCTGTCTTTACGTACTTTGCATTTAAAAATTAATAATTATTTTCTAACATGTTTGGTTGCTTTCAGTCTCAATCCCTTCCTGGTTCATCATCCACACTGAAGGTACAATGGTCATTATAAGCAGCATAACAAGCTGCATTTGACTTGGCTTTAATGTCATTCAATAGCTTCAGAAAGCTTCAGAACAAACCGAATACATTAACTCAGTGCTAGACTAGTAAGACGGCATGCCTGCTTTGTAGGAATATTTCTGCCATTTCTGTAGGTTCTTCTGCCTCTGTAACCCACTGTAGTTCTTTCTGATTTCCAGGTGAATAGTTTGTGCTCCCCTGCAAGTCATGCAAATGTTTCTCTGCACTAGTCTATTTTCTTTTCAGCCTGGTTAAACTCTCCACATCTGTTATAGCATATACAATGCTACATTGTAGTAATTAACTCATTTTGTATATCTTCATACAATCTACTGGAGGACAAAAACTTACCTTTATTTTCTATATCATTAGTTCTTGGCCCTTTATAATTATTAAATGAGTGTTCACTAATGGTACATTTTGGTTCCTATCACCCTATCCCAATGCTGTTTGACAGAACTTGTGAGACTGAAAGGTTGTATTATCAATGCTGTCAATAGGACAGCTACTAGCCACACCTGCATGTGAATTGTGATCAATTTGGCTGAAGAACTGAATTTTTCATTTATGAATTTAAATAAATGTAATCATATGTAGTTGCTGGCCAACATGTCAGGCAGTACAACCCTACACTGCAATCCTTGAGTCCTAATCTATATTTTCTACTACACTCTTTGGAAGCAGGATCCACTTCTTCATTTTTCTAACATTGATGCCTAGAACAATGCTTAGTATCTAGTAAGTATGACCTCATATTAGATGACTATGTGGATGAAGAAGATATTGTAGAAGTATATCCTTTAATCTATCTAAAATAGGTAAGGTATAGTTTTAGATAAGGGAACAAATTGGTAAAATGATCTAATGTTAAATTTTATATTCTAAGAAGGAAAAAATCTTAACATATGAAAAAATAGCACGTATCAATTTAAATACTAGAATATGAAAAAAATGCAGATTGACTTTCAAAGTGTGGGCCATTCTTTGCACATTAAATTTTAACTTCATACTAGCTTTTGTGATTTAGATAGCCTCACTCTAGCATTCGGTTCAATTCACATCCAGCCTAAAAATGTATTAAGAAAACCAGGTAAAAATAAAAATTGTATTGTGCTTTAAAGACTACTGAGAGTAAAGGAATAAGAAAAATTATGTATCTAATGTGCATGAAATTTGACAAAGAAGAAGCTCTCTCTGGAGTAATGAAGAATACCTTTAAGCCTGTGAATCAAGGATCTAATATTAGGTAATTAAACTATTTAAATGCTAATATCAGGTTTAACAAATGTGCCAGAATCATTCACCAACTAGCTTTGATAGAAAATTATAAGAACTCAAACTCTATTTCTTGAAATTTTTCCTGCCAGTTGATTTCTATTTCTGAAACAGGGAATGATTTGCTTCCCATGGAACACTGAGGAAGGGGGAAAACCTCCGTTGGTCTCTGTAGAGTTATAATATGCCTTTAGTCAAAGGTCTCTGCAATTTAGCCACTTGCTGTATCCAGTTTTAAGTCATCAAGTGTATTACCTGCATGTGTATAAGTGCACTTGTATCATGATGTTCATGACCTTGTTCCTCCACCAGATGGCCATGGATAGGCAATGTTCTCAGCCAACCCTCGACTAGCCTCTTAACAAGAAGGGGACATCAAATGAACAAGCAGAACCATCACAACTGTCAGCATGCCTCTGACTTTCTTGTGTAGAGGAAATTAACTTCTGCTGTTTTTGATATGATGGGGAAATATCTAATTTAAAACATTGTGTTTAATGGCTCAAGTAATATCTTACAGTTTGCCATTTTATTTAAGCAGATAATGAAAGCGTCCAGTAGAAAATAGCCACGTTTCTACTGAAATTATATCCAGTAATCTTTTGTTCATTTTATAGCCTCCCATACTTTTCATGAGGGGGGAAGTAAGAGGATCTTTGAGTCTATGAGTTTAAAACAAATCAAAGGGGCTGAGGGATGTCTCAGTCATTAAGAACACTGACTGCTGTTGCAGAGGTCCCAGGTTCAATTCCCAGTGCCTACATGCTGCTTAATAACCATCCCTAACTCCAGTTCCAGGGGAACCCAATATTCTCTTTTGACCTTTGTGGGCATTGCCCAACATAGGTGCACTTATACACATGCAGGCAATAGACTCATGCACATAAAATTTCTTTAAAAGTAAAATATTTAAAAATAAAAATAAATAAAAACTAGTCTAAGCAATTAAGTAAGACCTTATCTCAAAAAAGGAAAAGCAAATAATAAAATGTAAAACAAAAGAAAAAAAGGTTTGCAGGTTGTTCAAATACCTTGTAAGTGGAAATACTCTCCTAGTATTTAATTTGTAGAATAAAGCAATAGTCTCACCTTGAAGACTGAAACAGTTTAATTAACCATGAATATGGCAAGAATATTCAACCTCACCAGATAAGGACTTCAGTCAACTGCTTTCTGCTCCTCAGAGCTAACACAAAATCCTGCAAAGGATGCTACCTGATCCTCATGTACAACTAGATATGGTTTATGACTATCACTAAGGTGATTCACCAAGATGTACCAGCTAGCCACAAAGAGTTCCTCCATGCATGCAAGTCCCTCAAAGGAAAGTCTATGAGGGGGGAGCTGTCAATGTCACATATAGATCCAGAGAACTGCTTGCAGTTGGCTTGGAATTTGACTCTAGTTCTAGGATTAACCTCTGATACTGAGTGTTAGTAAGTCAAAACAAGTAGCAAATATGCTTAGCTGATAATTCTTCAAAAGTCTGTTAAATGGATTTTTTTCTTATAGTTAGAGTGGAAACATTTACTTAATCAAAGGACAGATTTTAAAAGTAGTTTTGATTATCAAAAAGGATGAAAAATGTATTCAGCTTACCTATGATGTTAGTCATGCGATCCAGTGAAGAAGTATCTGAAATATCTAGTAAAATAACAAAATCAAATGCAGAAGAGGGAAGAGGCTCTTCTTTGGACATTGTAGGGTCGAAAGCCAATGTGGGCCTTTGAGATTTCTTTTTCTCTGCTTCTGTGAGTTTTCTCTTGTAGCCAGTGAGTGCTTCCTCTAGGAGCTGTGCTTGGTTTAATGTCATTGGAAATCCATCAAGCACCCAGCTTTTGTTAGCTGGTATCTCACTAAATTCAAACAGTATAATCCATTAACATTTTGATAGACACTGGTACCTTACAGAAAACAATAATATAATCAGGATTGCCTTATCATTGTTGGAATTTCATTATAACCTCCTACTGCATGGTTTTCATTATTTATAGTGAAAACATTAGATTTCCTAATGTGTTGCTGTCACTCCCTTGCTTAAACTCATTCTGTGGGCCCCTGCTCTCCTCCACATCCATTCCAGAGGTTTTAACATGCTGTTTAAAACTAAGTGGTCCACTATTTCTCCATAACTTCTAATCTCTCCCAATTTTGAATACTTACTTCTAGCAAACAGATATCCTCAATATTATGTGAATATTAATTGCATATTTTACCTTGTGCTTGTATGTTCTTCCTTTGTAAGAAAGTTTGGTTTCCTCATCTACACAACAAAGCATTGTAGCATACCTTGCTAGGGGATTGTGAAGATGAACAGATCTTAGCCACACGGGGCACTTCCATTGCCAAAGTGGAGAGTTTTTCCACCCAACCACTCCTACAACACTGACTTTAACTCCTTTCACTCTCATTCATTTTACCAGATGAATAAAATGTTCTCAGTGGACAAAATTTCAAGTGAGTCACTTTAAAAAATCTTTCTCACGCATATTTTTATTGGTTTTGTGCATTTTATACAATAAATCTCAATCACATTTAGATTGCCTCCCCATTTATATCCTCTCATAGCCCTCCCACAAGATTTCAGGCATTCTGCCATATATGTTAAGGCCAATCTGGTTAAGTTTCTGTACCCAGAGGTCCCTCAGTGCAAGTTCATACACTGGAGTCTAGACAACTTATCTAGAGTCACTCCCTTAAAGAATTCTTTTTAAAATATTTTATTATTTTTATTTTATGTGTATGAGTTTATTGACTATATGTATATAAGTGTGCCTATGTTGTGCAATGCCCACAGAGGTCAGAAGAGGGTGTCAGATTCTGTGGAACTGGAGTTACAGACAGTTGTTAGCTGCCATGTGGGTGCTGGGAACTGAACCTAGGTCTTCTGCAGGAGCAGTCAGTGCTCTTAATCACTGAGTCACTTCTCCAGCCTGTGAATTCTTTTTTTATTTTATGTGTATGAGTGTTGTGCATGCATATATGATGTTAAATGCACCACATATGTACAATGCCTACAGAAGCCAAAAGAGGGCGATAGATCCCCTAGAACTG